AAAAGAAGAACTCTGCCATATGTCCATTGTAATCCTTTGTGACACCTCAAGAACTCTACTGTGACTAAGTACGTAAGAAAAAATCCTGTATATTGTTAATACCTACATGTTAAGTACACTAATTGTGTTGTTTTTATAGTCTTCAAAGTATAGTAGAGTTTAAATAAGACAATCTGTGTCTGAAGCATGAAGAAGTAAGATTAAATCTTCAACCTAGTATCTGAAATAATCAAGTATATAGAGTATGATTCCCGTTCAAGGAAAAAAATACATCCAGAGAAGGAATTTACTTAGAAAATGGTATGTTATGTCTTACTTGTATATACCAACGAAATATACTTTTATTTTTGTCGTTTTTTAATTCATATGTCGGGTTATAATATGTATATAATTAGTTTTTATATGTTTTAGTTGACTGAGGAGGGGCAAAAACAGAGCCCGAAACGTGTGTAGAAACGCGTCTCAACAAAAAGCTGGAATAAATGAATGAGTTATGCCATGTGTTGATTACTGTGCTTCATTGCAGTTTTTTAAACAGATATAGCTATTTAATTAGCATTGTTATATGTATGTATAATTATTATATGTATGTATGTATATATATATAAATTTATATATAACTATATATTAAAATTTTATGTTCAAAGGATCATAACTACTAAATGATACATACATGTATTACTTAACTATTAAATAAAACTTCATTCTTGAAATACATATACATGAAAATAATTATATTTGTGTATAATTATCTTTTAATTTATTTTCTTAACATTCTTTGCTCTTCTTCTTTCATGACTTCTGCTATTTGGCTTATCTTTTCTATCTTTATTATATCTTTGCTTATAACTCAAGATGAAAGGTCATCACTTCGCAGGAAGTTCTAATCCACAATTCTGTCAGTTTGTGCTTGAAAGAAGTCGCCATATGCTGAAACCGGTGAGTTTGGACTGATGAGTTGAAAAATTAAAAATGACAAGAAAGTCGCATATTTTCAATTTTTAATAACTTCTAATGTTACATTGTGATATGAAATTCATGTGAAGTTATGTTGCATGACAGAATTATTGTTCTAATGTGTAATTTTAAATTGTTTGTTATGTGAATTTGAGATATAAAAGATAAAAATTATCAATAGCATTAATGTTAGATAATTTTAAAAGTCACAATGATTTTAAATTTATATAATAGTAAAATTTATTTCTAACAATTCTCATAAAGAAGAGATTTCAGTTACAAAATTTCTACTAAGATTAATTTAAAATATATATAATTCAAATTTATTGAGCAAATTTTTATCCTAACACACAATAATATAACTGTTATTAATTTATAATTAATAATCCCAAAGTATTAAACAGAATAAAATAAAATTAAATATATCAGATGAAAAATATACTTTTGTTTATGTTTCAAGATTGATCATATCTCATACTCTAACAGTAAATTTTATAAATTACACTTTTATTTATACAAAAAATATTATATAAAAAAAAGAAAATTTTAAAAATGCAAGTATTTCTATCTCTTTACAAAAAACACTTAAAGAACATTATTGAAATATTTATACATATCCGTAGTTATATTTGTGTATAATTATCTATTAATTTATTTCCTTAGCAATCTATCAAACAACATTTTTTTTGTTTGAAGAAGTTTATGGAGAAATGAAACCCTTTGCAAATTTATAAAGTTTATATCCTTATATATTTCCATAACAAAATAATTTCCACATTTTTTCCAGCTTTAAAATGGTATGCACAATAAGTCTGCATCAATTTTAATTAGTGTCTATGTTGCAAGAATATCACAGATCAATAATGATGAAATTATTTGCATGTGATTCATATACATTGCTTAATATTAGTATTTTTGGTTTATCATTAATTTCTTTTGCCCAGAAATTATTTTTTGACAATTTTCATAATACATTATTGTAATAAAAAAATATATATATATTATAATTTTGAAGTTGCACACACAACATGTATGTCTTTATGCATATATATATAATTTTAAATCTCATATTTATGGAGAATTGTGTTTAGAATATAAGTATAACTAATTTATCTATTCTTTAAAATTATTATGCATTTTATAAATAATTAAAGCATGCTTACTCTATGCAATGAGATATCTGAAAAATATATTTTTTAAAAGTTTATTAAAGAATATATTGAATTTTATTCTGCTAAAAACTTATTAAACTTACAAATTCTATTTTTAAGAAATTCACTAGAGTTCATTAAAATTCTAGGTTGTATGAAAACTATCCAAAGTAACTTTTACACACAGTTTCAAAAATAAATTTTAATCTTAATCTGTAATTGAGAATATATAAACTTTTAAGTTTAAATTTTGGTTTCTCAGATGTTTGACAAATTTGAATTATTAGTTTCCTATAAAACTTGGCCATGCTGGCCAAGTTTTAAGTATAATAAATAAATAAATAATGTTTTCTTTTATTTTAAATTTTATCTGTCATTTATTTTTAAATGTTTTGATGTTATTGTAGAATATTATTCATTGCAAGAGAATAAAGATTAAAAACAATTTTTTGCTTAAATATACTAACTTTTGAACTAAAATTTTGTATTTAAAATTTAATATATATATTTATAAAGCCAAAGTTAGGATAAAAATTTCTTAATAATATAAGTTTTATAAATTTTTTAATTGACAAAAACTTCTTTTATATAAAATTGTGGGTTTCAGCTATCTCACTATTTTTGTTTTAAAGTAAGATAATTTTTATAGTGAAAACATAAAAATTTAACAATATTTTTCATCTTTTATAACAAAGAGATTGTTTATTGTAAATTTTATTTCAAACAAATATAAAATAAAATTTATGAAGTAAATATCCAAAACAATGTAACTATTAATTAAAATAAAATACTTAACAAATAATGAGAATTTTTATTTAAAGTTTTTTTTTTGAGCAGTTTGAACAGAATTCAGAAAAATTATCCAAAGATGCTTTTAAAAAGATGAAAATATTTATTAATTTTTAACTTCTTGTTAAATGAACAGTCTCTTTCAGGAAGTACTTTCAAAATAAACTTATTAAATGAAGTTTCTCTATTTTAAACATATAACAAAGAAGTTTCAAATGAAGAGACTTTGTTTAAATAAGATGTTTATGTTCTGTTATTATGTAATGTCATTGCTTTTGTTTATATATGGAACATACTTCCTATCTTATTTTTATGTATTATTATATTACAATATTAATATTCATAAATATTGCTTGCACATTTTATATCTGTTAGATTATATATTTTTAAATCCAGTTTTAATTTATAAAATAAATATATGAAATGTAAAACTTAAGAAATTACTTAAATTTTAAAAATGCAACTAAAAATATTTCTAAAATTCTATTTCTTCTTTCTTTAAAATGATTGGTAAATTAACATGGCAATTATTTTTTGCTAATATAAAACAGTCAGATTGACATGTCAGTTTAGTAAAATATTATTTATGTTATCAGTTAAAAAAACTATTGTTTTTTAATGCAGATAAAAAGACATAAAATAGACGGTGTGAGAAGAATGTGTTCTCATCCAGTTCAGTCATTTTGTAAGTAAAATAATTAATAAGAATTAAATATATATATATATATATAAATTGTTAGTATATATTGTAGTAATTTAAGAAATTTAATATTTAATTAAATTGAATAGCCACATATTAACATAGTAATTATAGTAAAACTTAATATAATTTTAACAATAATTATATTTTCCAAGTAAAAAAAGCTTTCTATAAAAATATCTTAATCTGTTATTATCCTGATAGAAAAATAAAAACTTTATCTCACTTAATATTATCTCTGTAATTATATATTACTCTGACTGATAATCCAGTTTTACAAGAAATATAAACAGCCAACATTGTATTGCAAGCAAATCCACAAATTAAACATTTACACTAAGCAAACTCAAATGGATTCAAATTTCTCTATCCATTGCTCAGAAGTAACCACAAAAGCTTGCAAGCATGCACATTTGTAAAAATCTTATATGTATTTAGTTAGTAAAACATCTCTTAAAATTTCTGAGAAGACTGATCTATGAAATATTGCAATTTTAACTTTATTTGCTTTACTCTATGAAAAAATAATAATTAATATATTTGAAGAAAACTGATTGTTTATATTGTATTTTTAACAAATTTTCATTACCTTTAAAATAATCTACTTAATTGCTCAAAGAGTATTTGTAAGTATCCTTCTTTTAATCTTTTTTTATAATAGTTTGGACAGTAAAATTGTAAGAGAAGAATATAAAAAAATGTCATCACAATCTGTCGTTTCAATCACCATTGATACCAAAATAACACAAATTTTCACTTAGAGGTGACCTTTTATTTCAGGTTATGACCTCTAAAAAATGTAAATTGGTTTTAAAAAACATCCTCTGGTGATGAATTTTTAATGAACTATGTATTTTTAATTCACAGCATTTATCACCAGAGGACTTTAAAACTAATATACATTTTTTACAGAGGTCGTAACCTCAAATAAAAGGTTGCCTCTGTAAGTGAAGATTTGCATTATTTTGGTGTCAATGGTGATTGAAATGGCAGATTGTGAAAACTTTTTTGTATTCTTTCATCTCTTACAATTTTACTATATAAATTGCCATTGGTAATTTTTAATGAATAGATTGGATTGGATGTTTACAACTCTAGATTTTTAGTTTTGATATATACTTGATTGATAAGTTTATAGCAAAGGAACACCGAGAATACAACTCCCATATTTTAAAGTGCACACATCATTATACATTGTATTGCACATATCAAATAATGCCTCAAGTTAAATGTTCTGCATCATGTTTGCAGTCTTAAAATTTGATTTTTCTGATTCTCTGCACCACAGTTGTATATATAGATGCATGTCACTAAATAGAAACACAATTGTTTAAATGAATTGAAATGGGGTTTTAGTTGCAAATAACAGTTTTGCACAACAGATGTCAGCTGCTTATGTTCAGGTTTTACACTCATATATACATATGATATTTTGACTATAAAATGCAGAAATTCTTTATATTTTGGCCATTATTATACTTGGGTAAATAATATACTTGTGTTTATGGGTCTATCATTTGTTTTGTGTCACAGCTTGATTTGTAAAAATAATAAATAAATAAATAATTTTGACCATTTACTTTGTATTAAATAATAGAGTGAGCAAAAATCCTTAAATTTAATGAGAAATAAAGACTTTTAATGTATTTTTGAAGAATGATTGGCATGCTGCATAAAAATGGGGGAGACCAGCATACTGGAAACCCCAGGGTTACCAGCAATTGTGACTAAATTATAAAATTAATCAGATGTAACAAAACTAGTTGTTAATTAAATGTTAAAGAAAACATTCTAATCAGTACAATAAAATAACAACATTGTAATTTGACTGACTTAAAATCAGATAGAAAGTTTTTGTGTACAAGACAATAGAGAGGTTGCGGTTGACGTTTTCAATGCAAAAACGTGTACGTCGAACGTTCAGTGGCACCTTCCTGTAAGCCTAGAAGTTTGACAATGGCATTTGGAACATCAAGCATGATTCCACTGACGTTCTGAACGCCATTGTCAAACGTCTAGGCTTACAGGAAGGCGGCGCTGAATGTCCAACATACACGTTTTTTGTGTTGAAAACGACCACAACCTCTCTATTAAAACAATTAATGACTTCTTGACATTAGTAGTGGTTAGTCAGTCAGTGTAGAGTACAGTGACCTTAAAAATAACACCTTCCTCTCAAATTTCATTCAAAGCTGATGTTAATTGGTGTAAGCTGAGATAATTTACCACCAGTTTCTTAAATTTAATATGTTTATTTTTGTGTTTTTAAATCAAATAGCAATAAAGTAAACACAAAGAAAAGTACTTTTGGAATTCCAAGAATATTTTATGTCATTAGAAAGAGACAAAATGAAGAAATTAAATATACAATTGTAGTTTTTACGTGATGTAAGTCATTCTTTTTTTAATGCGCCGTCTAGAGAGGGATGTATAACCTCACTTAAACTGGCATGTAGGCATTCCGTGGGATAAACTGGCATGCCAGTTTTTACTATACCATATGGAAATATTTGATTTCACAGTCTCCCCTGATAGACCGGTATGTTGGTCATTTTGCGAAAATATGGTACATATCAAATGTTGTTTTAAAAAATATTTCATTATTTCATTGCATGATATCCAAAAATGAACTAGAAATATATGAAAGCATCTGAATGTATAATAAACAGTTTTTTGATACATATACATACTGTATATACATGTATATACATGTGTGTGTGTGTTTGCATTTATGTTACTTTTATAAAATTATCATATTAAAGAATTTCAATAAACAGAAGTTTTCAGCAAAATACTAAAAAGATGAGCTTTAATTATGATATTTTAAATACAAATTATAAGCCAATAAGTTTCAAAACAAGTTTTATATGATAATGATATATTTTCTTCTAATATATATAATTCACTAAAAATAGAATTTTGTTTTATAGATCTTACAGGATCTCAAGATGGATCAGTTCGTCTCTGGGAATGGGATCGACAACAGCCTTTATCTTCTCCTAGGTCACCTGGAGCCTATGCCAGAGTAACAAGAGTGTTGTTTAATGCTCAGGGTAATAAAGTAAGTAACATGAAGAGAAACAACTTAAAATTCTGGATATTGATAATTCAAAATATTTGTTGTTTTTCAAACTCTAAACTAGTGAAAAAGTTCTTTGTATCATAGATGATATAATACAAAAATGAAAATTTAGTAGTTTTAAGTGGTAATCATTTCTCTTTCAATAGTTTATGCAAAAAGATATGTCTAAAATCTAATTTCATTTCTTTAATTATGAATTTATAAAATTTATCTTAGTTGAATTCCTTCTTTGTTGGATACATAAAAATGAAAAGTGACGTATATTCAATAACAATATTTATGATTTAAACTAAAACTAATAAAACACTTAAAAATAAAGCATAGAGTATTATTTTAAATTATATATGGGATATGCTATTATGTAATGTTGGTATATAATGTTCAGTTATATATTTTGCATAATTGTAAAAATCTTAATATCCAACAAGGATTTTTATTCAGAAGGCAAAATACCTATAAATGTTTTTTGGTATGTTTTTATCAAGTATTCAAAAAATAATTTTGTTTGAACATGAAAGTTAAATGACCAAGATAGGAGTATCCTAAAGTTTGTACATGTAGGTAATACAGAAGTTGAAAACAAACAATGATACCTTTATGGCAGGAGATTAAAAATTGGTTTCTGATTTGATTTTTTGGCAGGTCAGATTTTCAAAAATAAAGCGGATATTGAAAAAGTCTATAGAGGATTTTAAGGTTTTTTGACTCTAGAATCTATCTGTAAAAAATATTGGCACAAAATTTTATTACACCCTGTATATTGAAAATTTTAGTTACTTATGCACTCTTTCTGTAATCATTACAAAGTTAATGATATTATCAAATATTTTAAACTAAATAGATTAATATAGTAGATATTTTTAAGTTTTAGATTGATTCATTAATTTCTAATACAAATTACCCTGCTATTGAAAAGTTGAATGTTCCTGTGAATCATTTTGTAAGCTGAAATGGTGTAAAACAAAGAAGCAATTACGATTAATTTATATCAGAGAAATTTTTGATCATTCCCAAACTGAAAATTGAATTACTATTGAAAAGTTGAATGTTCCTGTGAATCATTTTGTAAGCTGAAATGGTGTAAAACAAAGAAGCAATTACCATTAATTTATATCAGAGAAATTTTTGATCATTCCCAAACTGAAAATTGAATTACTAAATCATACCAAATAATATATATAACTTAAAATAATACTAACACACATTAAAAGCAGGAATAATATAATAAACATGCAGACTATATAATGTAGAAATGTAAGTATGGTTTAGTTTTACTAACTATATCATACTTACATTTCTATAGATACTAACTTCAGAACAGTTACATAGCTTAGGTTGCTTACTGAAGAGAAGAAACTATCTTCATCTCAAAAATCATTTAAACCGTGTATGACACACTTTAAATTCCACTTTCACAATACTTTCATCATTATCATCCATTACTTCTGTTTCAGCTAATTGAAAACACTTTATTTTATTGAATCTCTGTTTAATTAAATAACATAATTCATTCATATTTATCTCATTATGTATTCATTTTTGTTTTTATCTTTTAGTTTGGAGTTACAGATGGAGATGGTAATTTAAGTCTTTGGCAAGCTAATATGAGTTGTAAACCATTTTTTGTAAGTATTTATAGTATATAAAATTTTTTTAAATTCTTGGATTTAAATGAATTCATAACTGTTTAAGTAGCATGAATTAAGTTTAATAATCTCTAACTTTATGTTAAAATTAATAAATCTAATGTTTCTGTAGATATGTAAAAAATAACAATGATATTAAATTGGTTCTTTAAATAGTTTTTAGTTTATGATTTAAATCAATAAGTTTGAATTTATTAAATATAAAATAGTTGAAATGCAATTAAGGAATTAAATTTTGATGTTTTTTAGAGTGCTCGATGTCATGGTAAACAAGCAAGTGATTTTATATTTGTGAATTCTTCTAGTCTAATAGCAACAGTAGGACACTCTTCAGATAATAAAAATGTATGTATTTGGGATACATTACTACCACAAGGAAAAGCTTTAGTAATATGTGAGTAAAGATCTTTATTTTTAAATAAAATACAGTAGAACTCTGATTATCCGAATTGATTTGTTCTGTATGTGATTCAGATAATCAAAAATTTGGATAAGTGGATTAACATGTAAAGAATGAAATTACAGGGTAACACAGTATTGTACTGTACAAGTGCAGTATTTATTTATTCATTAATGTGAGAGTAGCATCCTACTGACCATTTGGATCTCTTACAGTAAATAGGCATCTCTGACATTCAGTCTCACAACATAAGAGAATTGTAGTGTGATGTCAATGGGAGAAAGAGAGAAGATGGCAAGTGATGATTCAGATAATTGAACATTTAGTTAATTGGCATTTATATAATTGGAGTTTTACTGTATATTAATGTAAATTTTCAATTAAAATTCATTTCTTTGGGGTACTTGTAAAATATATTTAGTTTTATTGTATACCATTTTGCTTGGGAATATTCAAATATTTTTCACTCTTATTTTATACATAAATAAAGGGTTAAAGATATTTAAAGATTTATCATCCTTTTGCATCATTGCAAATTTTTAATTTAAGTTTTTGTTATTTTTTCACATTTTTAAACTCCACATTCCATTAAATAAGACTGCAAATGATATGGTGTTATCAGGATATTAGAATTAATAAATGATTGCTGGATTTTTGATTAGTCTATTTTAAGTTTAATTAATTAATAATCCAAAACAAAGTATTTATATTAGTAATTTATAATTATTGAATTATAATTAATATCAAATTGTTTAACTGCCTTTAAAATTACTGCTGTAGAGTGGAAACCTCTTGTTTCAATAAAATCTCTAAGTGAAGAAGGCAGTTGAGAAATCAGAACATAAATTATTTCAGTTTCCATGGTCTCCGAATTCCAACATTGTGGACTTATGCTCTTTGACTCTTGTCATGAGTGACTGAGATGTAACGTTTGCATACTTTTTATTTTAAATCGTCTTNACAGCTTGCTTTTTATCTAACGAGAACATCTTTGAAAACTGTGGAAGATGCTTTATGCATTGCAGACATATTCGTCTACCATTGCAATTTTTCTTGATTTTCTGCTGGATTTTTGATTAGTCTGTTTTAAGTTTAATTAATTAATAATCCAAAACAAAGTATTTATATTAGTAATTTATAATTATTGAATTATAATTAATATCAAATTGTTTAACTGCCTTTAAAATTACTGCTGTAGAGTGGAAACCTCTTGTTTCAATAAAATCTCTAAGTGAAGAAGGCAGTTGAGAAATCAGAACATAAATTATTTCAGTTTCCATGGTCTCCGAATTCCAACATTGTGGACTTATGCTCTTTGACTCTTGTCATGAGTGACTGAGATGTAACGTTTGCATACTTTTTATTTTAAATCTTCTTGATTTGAATTCTTGATTCGAATTCCAATCTATTAAAACTCTGAGGTCTTCCAAATAACCTGAAGAAGACCTTTTAACAAAGTTGAAAATGTTAGTTTAATAAAATATTGATGCTGGATTGAAGATTTAGATGAATTTATCATTATTGTGAAACCAGTTTGCTATAAAATATTAAGCAAATGAAGTTGTAGTTGTAGTGTTGAGATAGTAGTTGAAGTTTAAAATAACTCCACTCCAAAATATAGTTCTTTGTAGACTATACATACTGGACGAGTCTATTTCATTCGGTCCTTTCACATGCTGTTGAGGTAATAATGATTCCACGGCAGAATTGACCTTTTATTCTAGGCTACTTGTCTGCCATCCAATGCAAAAAACTTAAAACTCATTCGGTATGTATAGTTTACCAAGAAATATATTTTTTGTAAATCTAAATTAGTCCTGGCAATTTTTTTAAATCTACTCCAAAACTCAAAATAACTGAAACATAAGGTAAAGTAAATAATGTAACTAAATATAACTGTAAATAAAAATTTTCTCTTGCTACTTCATAGTTCTACAGATATTGAGGCTGAATTATTGTATACTTCTTAGAGTTATATCAACTGTTTCAAGTGTTCACGAGGTTGGTCTTTCTGTACTCTTCTGATTACTCTGACATATTCTAAGAATTTATTATCCTAAGTTGATTTCTAGTATAGTGTACACTCTATTCTTGATACAATTATTTTTTTTTATCATTTCTTAACTAAAAATGTAAAATTAAAACATTTAAAATAGTCTCATTTATACATACAATATGACTGCTGAGAAAGCATTACTGTCGAGACTAACAAAAAGTATTTAAGCTCTTAAACTTTCTTAAACATTAGAGACATTATGAAAATCAGTTTGACTATAATATAATATAAGAATATTTTGTACTCCAAAAAATGTTCAGATTATTGAAATATGTAAGCACATACAAAATGAAACTAATTAGTTGTAAATTCAAATTTTTGTTTAGTTATTTTTAATTAATTTATATTTAATTATTTAGTTAAATAAACTAACTAAATACTTTAAAACCTCACTTTGTGGCCACTAGTGAAGTTCCTCTGTAAAACTGCATAATTTTTAATATAAATCAAATTCTACATTGGTGGCCTGATAGGAGTTCCTAAAGTGACATCCAGTCCTGTTTACTTGGCTAATAGAACAGGAAAACCCTAACTACATTCCTGAACGTAATGTATCATTAAAGTATTTTAAATAGAACTGAGTGTAATTTTGGATCAGTTTGCTGAGATTCCTCCAACAGATGACATTCAAATAAATTTAATATGTCAAGTTTAAATGAAGATTTCCAAAATTTAGCCAGAAGAAAGACAATTATATATTTGTTCAATAATTTTATAAAGGATCCAATTGTATTTTGTAAAAATATTGCACATAAATCAGCAATGATCACTGATAACTTAAGTTACTAGCATCAGTGAATGAAGAAATTTATCAATGAACTTGGTGTTAAAAGCTAATTTAATTATTGACACTTGGATACTTCTGCTTAGTTAATGACTTCAGTTTAATAATTTTCTTTGGGTTGCAATACTATGTGAATTTATTTTATTTATTTATTTTTGTTTAATTTTATAATCTGTATTAAAGTTTTAGCAGGATTCAGTATAGTATTCTGTATGTCAATGTTTTCATAACTTTGCCTAGGCAACTACCTGAGTTATGGGGCCAGAAATTGTATTCCATGATGATGTCACAAGTGAGGTTTTGCTGTATTAAATTTAGTTTGTTTAATTTACAGTTAAATCCTATTTAGTTAATTTTATCAATTATACACCAATTCTATGATACTATTTATATTCATAATTTTTAAACATCTATCTTGAATAACTTGAACCTAAACTAATTGTATGTTATGTTAAGAATGATAGGAAAACAGCTTGATTAAAAATCTAGTTGACTTTGATATTATCATTGCATTCTGATCTGCCTATAACCTACAATAGTTTCATTCAGAAGTTTTAATCAATCAATTTTATAGTATACCTTAAGGTTTTCAATTGTGAATTCAGTTTCATAATAAATATTAATAAATTATTTCTAAAGAAATTACTAAAGTTTTTATCCACATATGAAGATTGATATATCATCTTGAAGTAAGTAAATATCAATAACAGTTAAGAAATGTAGAATTTTTGCAACAAAAGCATTGTCAACTGGAGTATATACTGTAAATATTATTTTTTAAAATCTTGCATGTAAAATATTTTAAAAATGAATAAGTTTTTCCTATACTCTTCAGTTTTATGGAGAAAAAATCGTTTTAAACGTAGTAATTAATTCCTCTGTATTGGAGAAATAATGAGTTTCCTAATTCAAGTATTTAATATATCTAAAATTGTAAATTTATTAATTTAGACTTAATTTAAAAACTAGTCCATAAAATAATTATTTACATATTTTTATAATACTGTACATTTTAGCATTTAATTGTCATGATAATGGTGGTTCTGCAGTGTTATATTCAAAACAGAATCAAATATTGATTACAGCAGGGAAGAAAGGTTTTGTGTGTATCCTTTTTGTTATAAGTTAAATATTTTATAAGTCAATTCTTACTTAATTGTATTGTAGAAAAATACATAAAAAATCAAATTTTCTTTCCTTTCTGACTTACGGAGGATAGATAACTTCCACATTCTAAAACTTTACATCAATAACAAAATAAAATTAAAAAAGTTAAAAAAGGTGAAAGTAAACCAACTTTGCAGAGAAATGATGCAAAGTTNAAAAAAGCTTTCTATAAAAATATCTTAATCTGTTATTATCCTGATAGAAAAATAAAAACTTTATCTCACTTAATATTATCTCTGTAATTATATATTACTCTGACTGATAATCCAGTTTTACAAGAAATATAAACAGCCAACATTGTATTGCAAGCAAATCCACAACTTAAACATTTACACTAAGCAAACTCAAATGGATTCAAATTTCTCTATCCATTGCTCAGAAGTAACCACAAAAGCTTGCAAGCATGCACATTTGTAAAAATCTTATATGTATTTAGTTAGTAAAACATCTCTTAAAATTTCTGAGAAGACTGATCTATGAAATATTGCAATTTTAACTTTATTTGCTTTACTCTATGAAAAAATAATAATTAATATGCATGACATATAATGATATGTTACATTTGTTAATTAATTTGTTTGAACATCAAAAAGAAATGAAAGAAATGAACGTTTTAATGTTCATTTCTTTCTTATCACAGTACAATCTCAGTAATCCAACATATATGAGACTGGAACATTGTCAAATTAAGGAGATTGCCAGATAATTGAAAGTAAAGTGAATTTAGTGGTTTAATCATTCAAAACACAAACATTTGTTCATTTACATGATATTAGTACATTGTATTAAATTGTGCTCAGATTTTTTGGTCATTAATCCAACTGCCATCACCAGTGAGCAATGTTTCTTTTATAAAAAAAAAATTTTGGGGGAGGTCTTGATCTGGGTTTATATGAGGGGATATATTTTTCAATCTCTGGGAAGTATTAGCCTCCAGGACCTCTCCTGAAAGAAACCCTGCCAGTAATCAGTGTTGCCGAGTTGGTGGATTCTCACTAAATTTAGTAGAAAATTGAAGCAACCATGGAAAGTTTAGTGGGAGGCATAGTATTTTTGGTAGGAAATTTTGAGGGACTACTTATACATTATTGCATTTAACACTTATAAGATATTGTACTTTTTTGAGCCTAACAATCTTTAATATAGTGACAAAGCTTGAATGTTTAAGCCTGGGCTAGATATCGTGCCACATTTAGTGGGAAAATGTTTAAAATTAGTGGAAACTAGAGTATAAACTAAGGGAAGCTTGTCTATGACTTAGCAATGGTATAATAATACCCGAATGTCAATTAGTGTCGGATTACTGGATATGTCAAAATAGCAAACAGATTACCAAGAATATTGAATATTGTATTGTATATGAATTAAATTTATTAATCAGGATCTACTGATTTGGTAGTTTACCTTCACATTTTTACAAAATATTACTAAAAGACTTTTTATTCATTAAATCTTTCAGAATTTATTAAAATATAAGAATTTGTAATCATTCTTTTTCAATCTTGGATAAAAGATTTATAAAAATATCAACACAAACTTGTAATAAGAAAAAATTAACTGTTGAAGAAAAAAGAAATTTCAAATAGTTGTCATTCATAGTGAATATATATCAAATATATATTTTTTCAATTTACAAAAAACCTGTAGATTTTTAAATTAAAAAAACTATTTATTGCAGTATATTTCATAAAATGAAATCATCCATTCATTCATAAATTAATAAGATTTATTTTTATCATTCAATATCTAGTACAAATCTATAAAATTTCTTATGAAATGGCCTCAGTTATATTTGTTGTTGGCAGATATTTTCTAGTGACGGATCTTTGAAATTATTTTTGCTCAAAATTATTATACTTTTTTTAAATATTTGTTACTCTGGAAAATTGGTTAATTGTAGAATATTGGGAGAAACAACTGTTTTGCATTGGCACAACTAAAGTAACAGACCTATAGTAGTTTAACAGGGAAAAAAAGGTAGACTTGACAAAGGAAATTATTTTGTTCTAAGATTTATTTTGTAGTTGGACAGATTTTACTGATTGTTTTTTTTTTTTTAATTAAAAAATCTTGTTAAAGAATATATTTTATGAAAATAAATAACTTATTTGATTATAATACAAACCTTAACACTGATCAGGTATATTTGATATCAGGCAGAATCAAATGATGCATAGTTTTCAGGCTCACGATTCTGCTATTAAATGCATGACTTTGGATCCTATTGAAGAATTTTTTGTTACAGGAGCAGCTGATGGAGATATTAGAGTAAGTAATGCTATCTTATTTGGTTTTTTTAACTTTAAAGTTAAAACTTCAAAAAATTTTTTATTGAATTAATACATGGTGGAATATAATTATGTATAGTAAATTTGGGAGACCAAACTAAGAAAAATTCATATAAAATTTGATTAAAATGTGATTTAATTGCTAGAAACATAAACAGAATACAAAGTACTGAAAGGTCTTATTTTGCAGACTTGCTAAATGTTAGTGTTTTCATAGATGGCAAATGGTTATGTTCATCCATCAAAGCACAGCTGACTCTGATTCTAATTCAGCAAACAATACTTCTTCAGTTTCTGACAATCCAGACAACTACCAAATTTTATTTACTGTAATGAATACTTGGTTTGCATGTATTTTTCTCAGTGTATTCAATATGGTATAATAATATTTTACTCTGTATATTCAGAAACGTCAGATTAAAGAAATGTTTTCTGTTAATTGTAAATAGAGAGTTTGCAGCTGAAGTTCAAATGTTAAACTTGTACGGCAAGCAGAATTACACATTTGATGTTTGAATTCCAAGTAAAACATGTTGTGCCACACGTGCGACGTAAACACGTTGCGTTTATGCTGCACACTGACTCATGGGATATTGTTGAAAAATGGCAGAAACGTTTAACAACAATGAATGTTACCAGTGAAGGTAAACAAACAAATTAAACTATTTCAAAATATTTATAGGGTGTTTAATAACATAAAATAATTATTTTTGTCTTTAATTAACATTGTGTCTCCTACTGTAAGAAACAATGGGAAAGTTACAATGCATTTTTCCTGTTGTCACAACATACTTCTGTTGAGGGAAATAGTGCCTGTAAATCCATATGTGTATGAAAATCCGAAAGCTGCTTGGAAAAATATATCTGAAAATTATTGTTTATGGCCACTGAATACCACTCTTTGATGTGTTTTTGGTCGACAAATAAGACATGTCGTTCCATCTATGAACCCCCAACAATTTGTCAAAGGAGCACCTTTTGCTGTTATTACTTGGCTAAATAATTTTAATTTTTCTCTTGTTAGTTTTATTTCATTGATATTCAATAACAATTTGGAATAGCTATTGTAAACGATATTTAGTATTTCGTGAAAGTTCACTTTTTGTTCGCCCCAAGAAAACAGAAATATCATCAAGTCTATTAGGATAAAGTATCATCATCATAAAAAAAATGCATAATGCATCAATTTCAAGTGAGCATGATCCATTTTCACAAATAATTACAGATGGAAGGCATAAAGCAGAATGGAGGCGAAACAAATCATCTCTTGAGAATCTGTTAAAATTATAAAACTTTATAAGTATTATTCCTTTTTATTTTTTCGTTTCTTACTTTAATTTAATCACTTACTGAAAATAAAACAAGCAATCAGAATCTGTCATTTCATTTAAATTCATTCTTACTTTTGTCACAGGTATAGCTTTAGTCATATGATATAATAAAATGGCTTCTTCATCACTTTCATACTCATCCAACAAGACTAATACCTCATCAATAGACTATAAATAAAATTTTAATTAAACGCTTACTGTGTGAAAATGAAAAAAAAATGAAAAAAAAGTGAACACAACCTTAGAGTTTCTGTGGTCACTTCACATCACTTTAAAAAATATTGAATAATTAAATAATTTCTGAATTAAAATCATCTATTTTGTACAATATTATTCATAAATGCTTAAATAATCATTATTTTAATAAAACGCATCATAATTTTAACCCCAAACACACAAAAAATGAAGAAGTTTAAGCCAATCTTCTACTCACCATGCTTGATGTACCAAATGCCATTGTCAACCTTCTAGACTTGCCATATGGTGGTGGTCGACATCTGACGTTCACGTTTTCACAATGAAAACGTCAGCCGCAACCTCTCTAATGATTGCATAAGTTTCTAGGCAATCATCGTAACAGAGCTACTTGATGCAGAGCACAAATTTCTAAGGAGTTTTGATTTTCTTTTATGTGGTACCTGCTGATACGTAATCCCCACATTACACAAGACCATACATAATTCTTTTATATTGAGCAATGTTATAAGTAGATATATAAGTATGTATTATATTATGATTGATTGATTCATTTTAATTACTTACATGGTTTATATATAAGGCCATTCATGGGTGCACATGCCCAGGGCCTCTACAAAAAGAAAATTATAAAAATTAACTTAAAAAATATAGAATGAAAAGGAAAAATGTAAAGAATGATTCAGGAAATGAAATGCAACAGGCTATATTAATAAATACCATATAAATTTAAAATAAAGAATGCTATAGTAGAACATCTGTACAGATTTTTATAATATAATTATATAATTTTTTTCCTTTTTTTCAATCTATAGCATTTGGTTTTTATTTGCATGGACAGTCTTGCTACAGGGGTCTCCACAACTGTAAGTGTCCTGGGGCCCATACATAAATCAATCTGTCCCTGTTTGTATTTCTAATGCCGATTATTTTTTTCATCCCTCTCAAAAGCCATTATAATAATACAAGAATTTCACTATAATTGATTAGAAATCTATATCAATGCGAACTTTTTCTTTGTTTGTTCTCTTACTGTTTCCCAGATTTATAACAGTTTATGTTCCATCTTGTACTTTGATATTTCTGAATTTAATATAGCTTACATTTATAATAAAAACTATATTAAATTCAGAAATATTAGTTTATTTAGTTTGTTACTTGCAATATGATTGCAAATAATGAACAAAAATATCAGAATTTTATTAACATTTATTTGTTTTAAAATATTAATACACATAATTATTTATGAAATTCTGAAGACGATAAAAAGTTTATCATAATTTCCTACAAAAGAATAAAAGTCAGTTTGAAAGCAGGTACAGATTATGTGGTGATGAGGATTATCTGTTGATTTTAAATCAACAAACTCTACAAACAGCTTGCTTTTTATCTAACGAGAACATCTTTGAAAACTGTGGAAGATGCTTTATGCATTGCAGACATATTCGTCTACCATTGCAATTTTTCTTGATTTTTCCTCCAAAAACACATACATACCTCTCATTTAGTTCTCTTCTCTTTGCTTTTTATACATAAATTCACACTTTAATTGAGATTATTAGATACTCTTACTTGAGCTTGTATCTTGAAAGTTGATTAATTTTCAGTAAATCTTCCCTCTCTATACTGTATAACAACTTTCAGAAACTAGCTGATGATTTTATCATAAGTTAGTTCTTTACAGTAAGAACTAAGTAATCAATTCTCAAATCCATGTCATTGGATATTACTGGCATTAAAATTTTTTGAGTTTATTTTAGCATTTATTATTATGTTGATGGAGTGTATCGTCAAAATCATCATCATCATCATCATTATTATATATTTAATTAACAATAATTAATAAATTAAAGAAAAATGAAATGAAATGATAAAATTTTATTGCTTGGCAGCAATTTTGTATTTTTGTACAATGCACTTTGGACTGCTCTATCTCAAATATTCCATTTAATTTTTTAAGAGACTTATTTAGATTAGCATGAACTGTATATGAATGAACTGCTAATCTAAATAAAATGAAAAAAATTGAAAAAACAATGTTTGAGACATTGTCTTCTAAACAGCATACTGGTATTATGCTTTCAATGACCATTTCATAGATAGTGGGTATATACTGGTGTGGTTTTTACAAAGATTTTATTTCCTTTCTATAAGTTTTTTGTGACATGTATGTCATTGTTAAAGTTTTATGCAGGAAATTATGATAAATAAAGATATTTTAGCTAAGTTTTTTTTTTACCAAGCAGTTTATTGCAGCTGACTCTCAATAAGTTTTAGTCTGCTTTTTAGCTGCTCTCACATTCACTGTATTTTAAGAAAACTGTAAGTTAAGTTTATCAAAATTTATAACAGTAAATCATAATAATCTGAGTTAGATCTAAAAAAATCATTCAAAATGATTAAATTTAATGTATAGTAATACTTAAATGACAATATCGTATTCATTTGACTACTTTTATTAACGATTACATCAATGTAAGAATATTTGAACAAATAAAACAATCTGCATGAAAAATATTTTATTTTTTCCAACTCTTGCACTTCTACATTTTCAAAAACATTGCATACAATATATAGCTTTACTTCTATATAATACTAGCTGTTACCTGCGACTTCGTCTGCAGGGATTTTGCAAGCAAACCCCATTTATATTCAGTATTTCAACAACCATAATAATTGTTATATAACACCTACCGCTGAGAATCAAACAAACTATTTTCAATTTGATCAATTTTCTGGAACGTTTACAATCGTTCTATTAATATAATCAAACCAATATGCAATAACAAATTCAAATTTAAAACGGTTTGAACATTTGGTTAAAAAATCGAAATATATAAAAATATTTATAACAATGTCTGAAATGTTATCAATTTAATACACCTAAGTACTCAATGAAGACTAAACGTAATTGAAAACAAAAAATTGCATCTAAAATAGTACAGTAGAAGCCGTTCTTCAGGTTAAGCCTTAATGCTCTCCCTCTCCCCTCGCGTGGGGAATTTCGAAAAATCCCTTCTTAGTGTGCATTTTCATGACGTACCCTAACTGTGTACCAAATTTCACCTCTTTAGGTTCAGTAGTTTGCTCTGGACGATGATGTGTCAGTAGTCAGTCAGGACAAGTAATTTTATATATTTATATATAATATATAAAATATTTATNGCCTAATATATAATATATATATATAATATATATAATTTATATATATTTAAAAAGAAATAATTTAAAAACAAAACACTATAAGCTCAAATAATACAAACACATCTGTTTATTCTTTCAATACCTTGTACATTAATTTGCATTGTATTAATTACTAATTTATCTATTGGCTTTTTAATAAATTTTTGTGTATGATACTGTATACAAATATTTTATTATTATTGTAATAAACGACTTATTCCTCACAGAAAAAATGGAGAATGCATATTTAAATCTACTTTTAAAATACGCTGAGTTTTAACTCATTTAAGATTTTATCAGTATGTTTGAATATTTATATATTTACTACTGTTACAGTAGAGATTAAAAGTTTATTAAAATGCCAATAATTCACTGTTAGCGTTCATCATTACAAGGGTTGCCAACTGCTCTCCTATTCTCCTTTTATCAACAACGCCCTTCTTTTAAGTATAATTTTTTATTATATTTGAAATATTACTAACAGATGATGATCCAATATTTTATTTCCTTATTAATTGTTTATTTTTATCACTGATTATAATAACAGAAAGAGAAAGACAGTATTATAATAAGAGTTGGACAACCAAATAAAATTTAGGGAATCAATTAGGGTTGCATTGTGTAACAGTTCATAATAATTCTAACATTAAGTTTAAAAACCTATTTATTGTCTATTTAATTTTCTGTAATTTACAGTTAATCAAAAAATGTTTATAAAAAAACTATATTGTTATAAATTTCCATGCAATGTGTCCTTTTTTATTTTTTTCTTGTATAAGAAAGTTGGCAACTCTAATCATTATCAACAGGAACAATTGTATGATGCATGCTCATAATTTATTACATCATTTATTTATTGTAGGTATGGGGATTACCACACTGTTCGATGATTTATTCGTTTCCCGGCGAACACATACGTAATACTCTTTTCCGTAACATCAGCATGGGAGTCACGCATCTGGACGTGGATTCATTCGGAAGACTCTTTTCTTGCGGTGCCGACGGTTCCATGAAATTAAGAATTCTACCGGACCGCGATCAAGTAGTGAACACGGTTTATTAAACTTATTTATTTGTAAATGACAGCCAAGAAAACATTTTTGCAATTAAAATATTGTATAACTTATGTTGTATATGTTGTAAATTATTTAATCTGGATTCTGTGCAACCAAATTATCATAAATTGTACAGGTTTTATCATATTATGAAATTAATTTGTATGTAAGATAATGTTAATAAGATAGCATTAGCAGATTATATTTTACAATGATGATATGTTACATTTTCCAGACATTAGAAGAAAATATATATATACAGTATATGTACATTGTTTAAATTTGACATATTATTGTAGAATACATATAGATATATGAATGTGATCAGAGAGATTTTCAATTTATAAGAACAAATACTTTATCGATTGGTGCATTCAACTTCCAAAATATTGTTCGACTATAAGAAGCCGCTGTTTTTTAAAATAAATCACATACTTTATTTTAAATGTATCAGATTAATGCCATTTCCTTTTTATATATAATTTAAAGAGAATGCTGCAAGGAAAGATATGGACAATTATTGCAACACCAACAAGTGATGTTTTTGCCTTAAATTTATTAAACTGTTAATATTTCAAACACGTTAAAATGTTTATAATTTCTTTATAAATTTGATAACCGAAGTGCAACGTTTTACTTCAGACGACTATCAATTAGAAATATATAATTTATTAGTAACGTTAATCGAATTTTGTAATATTTACTAATATATACATATATATGTGTGCGCTTAGATACGGCATCATCATATATGTAATAACATCGCTAACAGGAAATTTAATGCCGTCGTAGAGTTACCCGTTTTGGAATATTAAATGTCGAAAATATTTTCATTTTAAAAAACAGTGCTCTTTATGTATATCAAATTATCCGATTAATATCGAGAATAACAAATTCTGTGAAAACACCGCTGTAAGATAAAAATGATACACGAGCATACATTTCTCGGTCGTGTGATAATAAAAATCTGTTTTAATTATTCCTATATCAAATGTAATGAATATTATGTAATTTCTTGAAGATAATTTGTTGTCCATTGATCAAAGAAGACATCAATGGAATGTGTTAAATGTGGTTGTTTGTTTTATGCATCTGTTAAATAATGAGAGTGTAAGAAAAAGTTGCGGAGTAGTCTGTGGAGATTCGGCGACCATTTTGAAATGTGTCAAAATCAAAAAATAAAAAATTATCAGATACAAAGTATTAAATAATTTGCATTATTTCATTCGTAGATTATGTATAGCGAAATTAAAACCAATGTAGCAAATTGGAAGATATAAATATTGTTTCAAAGACTTTTATATATATATACAGTACATATTCAGTGTCATTAGATCATTTGTGAATAGAAAATAGAAATTTATGAATTAAAAATATTCTAGTTTCTATTTATGAATTATCTTATTGACAATCTGATAAAACAAAGATCATTCACCATATATAAGAAGAAATTACTACTACTGAGATTACTTTTAGTGGAATTTTTATTTATCACTTTTAGATAATAAGACACAAATACCAATAACACAGATGTTACACTTGTTTGAGTAACTCTACTCTGGCATAGCACTTGGCACCAGTATCGGTCGAGCATGACATTCGCAACATAATAGTAATAATTTTCTCTTTTTGTCAACTTAAGAATAATACAAGAGCATCTTCCTCTATTTTGAATTATCTTCTCTGTTTTGTTCCTACTCTGGCATGTTTTTTTTCAGATCTTTATTTAAATGCCTAATTTTTCACATCCTGTATTCATAATGGAAGATGATACAGTAGAACCTCGAAAACTCGGCCTTATGTGGACCGAAGGGTGGCCGAGTTTGTGAAAATGCCGGGTTATCGGGAATGGGGTTAAAAAAGGATAAGTATGCGTGTTTCCTCAGAAAATACTGTACTGTACTTGTATGTATTGTTTGCTTGAGAATACAACAGAGAATAAACTGTCCAAATACCCTTAAACAAAGGAAAACTTCGTCCTTTATGAAGGCATAGAGCCTTTACTACATGAAAATGAAAATTAATGAATACACTGTGTACAGTAATTTACCTGATAAGACAGACTTCAGAAAAATACTTTATGAGAGCTTTTATACTTTTATAAAGCTGTCTATAATGAAAATTAATTAACTAATGATTTTTTTGCCCTGCCAGGGTGTGGCCGAGTTATCCGGAGTGCCGGGTTATCGAGAGCCGAGTTTTCGAGGTTCTACTGTATTATATAATTGTCTGAAGAGAATTTCTGTATGTCAAATTTCTAACCCATTACTACACTGGTGTACAAAACTTAAGCAATGATGTAATTTTTATGCAGACCCACAAAATTGTAGAAACCTGTTTGTTACAATCAGTACAACACCCATTTCGATAGAAGGGTGATTCATATGCAAGAAGAAGACACCATGGGTGACGTGAGGGCACACAAAATGCATGCAGTCAATGTGTGCAGTGCAAGACTACAATAAAAAGAGGGCTTTAATTCCATTCTGTATGCGTTCTATTCATTTTTATGCTAGTATGCTTTCATCATCCTTTAAGTACAAAATACCGTCTATATTCCAAATTTTGTGTCTCCCAGGTGATTTCTTGCAGAGTTACAGCAAAAAAAACAATCGTAACTTAAGTTTTGCACACCAGTATACATTTTACAAATATAAACATCCATAAACTCAATTCTTAGACTAATGCCAAATGATTGCCAGATTACATCCAGCTATATTAATGCTACTAATTATTGATAGTAATTAGATGGTTTAGATAGATGATCTAGAAAGAGACCTAATGCCTACCTCTAGGCCAGTGATTCTCAACCACTGTGCCATGAGATTTTTGAAGTGTGCCATCACTGTGAATATCCATATATAAGCGACATCAGACAAGTAGTTTAATCGGTTCTACCTTCCTAGAGCGCATTTGGAAATTTAATCGGTTTTACTGTTAACTGCCAGTATTTACTGAGGCGTTTAGAAAATGTGACCTAAATAACCAATTGTGTTTAAAAATCACTGTTATGACATCACCGGTTGTCCTGCAGTACTTACCAAAGTAACTGCAGGACAATCAAATTTTTAAATTATTAATTAAAAGTGTACCATGACAAAAAAAAGGTTGAGAATCACTGCTCTAGGCCATCATTTGATAAATTTAATAACTATAATTAAATTAATGTTTAATTTTGAGGGTTCTAGAACAGGTTGCCAAAACGTGGCGGATTGGATGATTACAGGTGGCACTTCAGTCAGTTCTGAGTGAGCCGTCGTGGTGTCGAGTTTTGAAGCAGAGTTTTTGCAAGAGCATTTTGTGTGTTTGTTTTTTTTTTATTTTGTGTAATACAATGTGATCTATTTGTTCTTTTTCAACATTCTTTTAGAGGTTTGTACTTTTCTATGTTTTTTTAAATTCCTTTTATCCATTACAGTGCAAAATAAAATGACCAAAAGAAGCACAGAAATTGATAGTAGGCATGAATTTAATGAACAGTGGGAAAATGAGTTATTATTTATAGCAAATTCATCAGGAAAGCCATTTTGCATTGTTTGTGAAAGTACTTTTTCACATAATAGACGACATGTTCTTAATAGACACTATAAAACACAGCATCAGACATAGAGAAGAAAAAATGAAGTTTGTTTTTGGATCTGAGTTGCGAAAAGAATATGTGACTAAGAAAAAGGAAGAAATCAGAAGAAGAAAAAATATATTTGCTAAAGTAAGTTTTGTAAACTTAGCAATGACAGAAGCGTCATATGAAATTGCTTTAGCATTGGCGAAAAAAAAAAAAAAAGAAACCTTTTTCTGACGGAGAAGAAATTGTTAAGCCTTGTCTCCAAATATTTGCACGTCATCTTGATAATAAAGGTATTGAAAGGAAAGCAGACAAAATTGCTATATCAAGGTAGACAGTTATGAGATGTATCGAGGAACTCTCTCAGGATGTATCCCAGCAATTGGAAGACCTTGTCCATTCTTGTACTTTCTTTTCTCTAGCTTTGGATGAATCAACAGACATAATTTGATGTTGCACGGTTAAACATTTTTATAAGAGGAATTGATGATAATCTTAATGTCTTTAAAGAACTTGCCAGTCTGGAGTCATTGCATGGTAAAACAAGAGGATCAGACATATTTGAAAAAGTAAAATCATGCCTAGAAAATCTAAAATTAGATTGTAGCAAACTCATCAGTGTGTATACCGACAGAGCGCCATCAATGATAGGTAAAGTCAATGGCACTGTAACTTTGCTTGAAAATTTTTAAAATCATCCTATACTAAAATATCATTGCATTATACGCCAAGAGGCACTGTTTGCCAAAACTTTAAATATGCAACATGTTATGTTACCGGTTATGAAATGTGTGAATAAAATTAGAGCAAAAACATTAAACAGACGAGAATTCAGAGAATATTGTGATTTGTTAGATATGGAATATGATGATCTTAACCTTCATTGTGAAGTGCGCTGGCTTTCTAGAGGGCATGTTCTGAGTAGATTTCGGAAATTGTAAAATGCTGTTTTTAATTTTTTAGAACAGGAAAATGAACTACCTTATGAAAGAACCCTATTATTTGACAACAACTGGCTATTTGATTTGGCATTTTTAGTTGATATTACTAGCCATCTCTATGATCTAAATTTAAAACTACAAGGCAAGAATAAATTATTTCCTTGCTTAATAAATAGCATCAGTTCATTTGAAATGAAATTAAAACTGTTCATCTCTCAGTTAGAAAATGAGGATTTGAGTCAATTTCCATGCTTAAAAGAGCAGAGTGAATGTGCTGAGAATAATAGCAATTTGATCAAATATTGTATATTGAAAAATCAGGATATTGCAAGGGACATTTGAAAGTCATTTTCATGATTTTGTTAAAGAAGAAAACTGCATTCTCACCTTTATAAACCCATTTCACTTGGTGAACAAAACAAAATGCAGATGCCTAGTAATGTACAAATGGAACTGATTGATTTAAAAACAAATTCATTCTTAAAAATAAAATTTGATGAGCTTTTTCCAGATCAAAATGCTTCTGATGTAGTTAATTTCTGGCATTCATTCCCATGTGAAAATTTCCCAGAGCTAGAAAAATTTGCAAAAAATTATATATGTTGCTTTGGAATGACATACCGATGTGAACAAGCATTTTCATCAATGAAATTGATTAAAAGCAAAACAAGGTTGCGAATAACTGATTCAAATTTGAAGAATTCTCTGCTGCTCTCAGTAACAAACTTAACACCAAATATTAAAAAACTAGCAAAATCCAAACAGGCTCAAAAGTTTCATTAATGGTAAGTAATGTTTATGTGCTGTAATAGATAGTTTTTTACATACAATAATTAAATCATTTTAAAAAGTTAATTATGTCTATAAATGTACTTCTATTAAAAAGATTATTAAACATATGCCAGGGCCAGGACTCCTAGCAAGCAGAGAGAACAGACAAATCCAAGTTCCAAGCTGATTTTGTTCTCAGTGTCAACAACTGTGGTCCAGAGTTATCATCACCAAATGAGACACTGGCAGCTATAGCATCATCATGAAGCGATCACCCTCTTGTACAGGAGATCATTCTTGACTATTGTAGACTGGTGCTTCATTAAACTGGTGTAAATTAATTAATTTAACTGCATGATTAAGTTATTCCTTTTCCTCCCCTAAGCGAAGCAAATTCTATCCTTATCTCTATTTACCAACCCCTAACCATGAACGTATAAAAAGTGCTCGAGTTATATGGCGCATCTGAACTTGTCTGTCAAAAAAAATTGGCGCATGGTATGCAAAAGGTTGGCCACCCCTGTTCTAGAAGAAAACAATTGGCACAAAGCCAAACTTAAACCCACAACTCCCATTTGCCATACAGATGCATTACCAGTTACACTACCCAAAACTCTGTCATATCTTTGCTTCCAGAACTATTAATTTAGATAAAACTCTACTAGTTATCGGAACCATGGAAAGGCAGGGGCAGAGGGGACACGGGTCTGAGTGCCAAGATGATGGGTTACTAAAATTCCAAAATTGTTACCTGGCAAACTAATAAATTCATAGAAAACCCACATATGAGTATGAAAAATTATATACTGTAAATAAAAAGTGTTTTTTATTGTTTTTAAATTCATAACAGACTAATGAAAGGCATATCCAAAAGGCACAAATTTTAGTTAGCCCCAATGCTC